GCCCCGTCCCCCCCCCCCCCCACCCCCCCCCCCCCCTCCCCCCCCCCCCCCCCCCCCCCCCCCCCCCCCCCCCCCCCCCCCCCCCCCCCCCCCCCCCCCCCCCCCCCCCCCCCCCCCCCCCCCCCCCCCCCCCCCCCCCCCCCCCCCCCCCCCCCCCCCCCCCCCCCCCCCCCCCCCCCCCCCCCCCCCCCCCCCCCCCCCCCCCCCCCCCCCCCCCCCCCCCCCCCCCCCCCCCCCCCCCCCCCCCCCCCCCCCCCCCCCCCCCCCCCCCCCCCCCCCCCCCCCCCCCCCCCCCCCCCCCCCCCCCCCCCCCCCCCCCCCCCCCCCCCCCCCCCCCCCCCCCCCCCCCCCCCCCCCCCCCCCCCCCCCCCCCCCCCCCCCCCCCCCCCCCCCCCCCCCCCCCCCCCCCCCCCCCCCCCCCCCCCCCCCCCCCCCCCCCCCCCCCCCCCCCCCCCCCCCCCCCCCCCCCCCCCCCCCCCCCCCCCCCCCCTGCTTCATTTTCCTTCATTCGTTTTCCCCTCGCATGAGCAGGGAGACACAGATAAGATACAGAGTAGAGCAGGCTCCCTCTGCGTGAGAGCACAGATGCTGAAATCTGTCACACCTGGGGGCAAATCCTACTGCAGGAAGGAGCCATGTGACCCCCTTTAACAAGTCAAATGCTGCAAGTTTCAACTTCTTCATCTATAAATTAATAATGCCTACTACATAGTTGTCTTGCAGCTATTATAAATATTAACTAGAGAGAAAGAGATGGGACTTGGATTTGAACTCAGGGCCTTGCACTTGCTAAACAGGCTTTCTACCACTGAGTCTCACCTCCCTGCCCTTTTTGCTTCAGTTATTTTTCACATAGGCTCTTGCATTTTTGCACAGGGTCATCCGCAGGCCTTGATGCTGCTACCTATGCCTCCTGGGTAGCTGGAATTTCAGGTGCACACTGCCAAGTCCAGCTTGTTGGTTGAGACAGGGGTCTATCTGTTTTTCCCCAGAGCTGGTCTCGAACTGCAGTCCTCCCGGTCTCTGTCTCCCTAGTAACTGGGATTCCAGGCATGAGCCATATATATTAAATAACACAGTGCATATGAGGGCTGGGAACATCACTTGCACACTGGAAGAATTCAACCAACAGCACGAATAGTAATGGCAGAAGTCAGAGCTGTTTTCCTTCTATCGTCTTCTCTCATAGCATTAAGGGGAGTGCGGAGGCACTGCTGATGAAGGGTTTGTCAGGGGTGGGGGAAAGTGGAAGAGCTAGGGATGACAGACTGGGGCTAGAACCTTAAAGTCATCCAGGTCATGGCATCAGCAGGTGAGGAGATCCTGGCGTGTGGCACACCTCTGCCACCCTGATCCTTCTCTCCCTCTACTTACTTCATCTCCGCAGATGTCTTCCGTCAATCCTCCAACAATATCACGTCTACCACACAGCTAACAATGAGAGCAGCAGAGTGACTCAAGCGGTAGAGCGCCTGCCTAGCAAGAGTGAGGCCCTGAGTTCAAACCCCAGCGCCCCAAAAAAAAAAAAAGTCAAGGTCATCTTACTATAAAACCGTAGAACTGGCAGAAATAAAAGGCCATCTGCTCTGACTCTCATTTTACAGGACACGATTCTAACATGTTGTGACAGGCTCCCCATCACCTACTGGACATTTGAGGACAGACATCATGGTTCTCGGTGCAGTGGTTGTTGGTCTAAGCTCGACAAAATGACTAAACCTGTGAGGAGAGGAACCATTGGCCAACTATTGAGGAATACCCTGGTGTGGTGGGTATCCCATCCACCTACTTTTGAGGCATTGGTGCTAGGAGGTAAGTGCTTTTAAGAAGCCAGGCAAGACCAGGCACCAGTGACACACGCCTGTAATTCCAGCTACTCTGGAGGCAGAAATCAAGACCATGTTTTGAAGCCAGCCTGGGAAAAATAGTTCACACGATCCTATCTCAAAAATACCCATCTCCAAAAAGGGCTGGTGGAGTGGCTCAAGTGGTAGAGCACCTGCCTAGCAAGCGTGAGGCCCTGAGTTCAAGCCCTAATGCTAGCAAAACAACAACAACAAAAGCCAGGCAAGGCTTCTTGGGAGGGGAGACAGGGTTGGGTTAGCCTTTTTTAAGGCTTGGCGAATGGGAAAAGAATGGAGAGCAGAATGTGTGTCTTCCTTGACACTTGGCCTTGAGCGACTGAGTATGGAGGTGGACATGACTCTCGTAGTTTGGGGGATAGTGACCATGGAGAGGGTTGACTGCCCGTCTCCCAACTGAGGCTGATTGTGACATTGATGGTAGATACTGAGGGCGTTTTGGGAGAGGATCTGCCAGAATCTGGAGCCCTTGTCCGGGGTAATGGTAAAAGGCAAGGCCTATGGTTCGCTATGATTCCAAGACCAGAAAGTCAGGTCAGAGACAATAATTAAGGGCCTTGAGATGAAACACAAATTTGGGAGAAGTGAGGATTGAGAAATACAAACAACCCAGACAAAAACAACTCAAATCCTCAGTCCCAGGAGACTAAAGTTGCCGTAACAACTGTGGACTCAGAGGGTGACACTCTGCCTGCAAGGGAAACAGGCTGCTTCACCCAGGACGTGACATTGAAGGACAAACAGAACTTTATCCAGGTAGATAATATAGGGACTCCAGGGGATTCCAGGAAGCAAAAACAGTGCGCGCAAAGACACCATGCGTATAGGGAGTGAGTCCCTTCCCCACACAGGATCCGGGTGCACAGAGGAGGCCCGAAGGTACTTGGTTTTATTGTACCTGATTTCCTTCACTTAAAAGGATCTCCGCTTCCATCTATGTTGGGACAGGAGTTCTTTTTTTTTTTTATGTACTGGAGTTTGAACTCAGGGCCTCACACTTGCTAGGCAAGTGTGGTGGAGCTTGAGCCACTCCACCAGCCCTTTTTCGGTTTTTCGAGATAGGGTCTCATGAACTGCCGTTAGCTGGGTGCCAGTGGCTCACATCTGTAACCCCGGCTACTTGGGAGACTGAGATTAGGAGGGTTGCCATTCTAGGCCAACCTGGGCAAATAGTTCTTGAAACCCCACCTCCAAAATAACTAGAATAGAAATGAGAATTGGAGCATGGCTCAGTGTAGCCGCACCTGGTTGGCAAGCTTTACAGCCCTGAGTTCAAAACCGCCAGTCCCAACCAACAACAAAGGGTGTGGTGTTCCTGTATGTTATAAAAAGAGAAGGCGTTGGTCTCCAGACAGATTTACGAAGCATCATGGCTCAAGCCATGGAACCAGGCGGCTCTCACAGGCTTCTGCTCATTATAAGATCACATGTGCCCCCACCCCCGAGAGGGTGGCCCATTTTCCCCCGTACTCTCTCCCCTCTAGCTGAGTCAGAGAGAAATGAGGCGCCCAGGATTGCCACGGGCTTGTCCTCAATCCACCTAAGGAAAAGAAATGTAAAAGGAACCATCTGAGGGCAGGTGCAGAGAGGGGTCATGTGGCCTGTCAGCACTGAGCTAGGAGGTGGTGCCAACCTGAGAGTGGTAGTGTGGAGGGCATCAGACGGGCCTCTGAGAACAAAATATTAAGCTCTGACCAAGCCCCTTAATCCTTATGGCTTCATCTGCAGGACTGCCCAGGTCTGTCACCCAGAGCTCATTTGAGCCCCATCAGCCATCTTCCCACTCTGGGCTCTGAGAGGATGCCTGGCTCCTTAGGTAAGGGCAACGGGGGACTTAGGGGAGCTGGGAGCACTGAGGACAGGTCTGAAGACAGCCCCAGGGCGTGTGGAAACACACAGGACACTGGAGGCCGCAGGAAATGTGGTTGGTGGCTCTGAACACCTCAATTTCCAGAGGACATTAGATGCTGTGGAAATGAGGGACGGGCTCCCAGGCCCTAGAGGGGGTGCACAGAGGGGCAGGGAGCAAGGGCTGGGACCTCAGAGGGCTAGAGGGGGGTTCTTGGGCCCAGGAGAGGCAAAAGACACCTACTTCTTATGAGGGCTGTGATACTGTGACACTCCTGTCCTAGGCCTCAACACCAGCCACTGGCCAGAGTCCAGCTGGGCGGCCCCGCAAGAGTTTATAATCCTGGGCTTCTCCGGGTGGCCCCAGGCCCTTCGCGTGCTTCTCTTCGCCCTCCTCCTGCCCCTCTACCTGGCCACGCTGATGGGGAACCTGCTTATGCTGGGCCTGGCGCTGGCAGAGCCCGCCCTGCACACACCCATGTACTTCTTCCTGGGCGCACTGTCCACCGTGGAGGTGGCCTACACACTGGTGCTCACTCCACGCATGCTGGCTGGCTTCCTCCTGCCTCCCGGGGGTCAGGCCGTGACCCCCTCCACCTGTGCCGCCCAGATGGCCTTTTTGTAGCTCTGGGAGGCGCTGAATGCCTCCTGCTGGCAGCCATGGCCTTGGACCGCTACCTGGCCATCTGCCACCCACTCTACTATCCCCAGCTCATGACCACGGGGCTCTGCTGGGGCCTTCTGGCCTCCTGTTGTGCAGGTGGCTCCATCCTAGCCTTAGGCCTCACCACTGCCATATTCCGGCTGCCTTTCTGCCGCGGTGGCCTTGTCAACCATGTCTTCTGTGACCTCCCTGCGGTGCTGGTGCTGGCCTGTGGGAACCGGGACCTGCAGAAGCACATGCTCCTGGTGGCCTGCCTGTTGCTGCTGGTGCTACCACTGGTCCTCATCCTCCTTTCCTACACCAGGGTGCTGGTGGTCATCCTAGGTGTGGGGGATGCTGCAGGCCGCCGAAAAGCCTTCAACACGGTGGCCTCCCATCTCACAGTGGCCATACTCCACTATGGCTGTGCCACGGCCATGTACGCCAGACCCCTGAGCAGCCGCTCCTTGGAGGAGGACAAGCTGGTGTCACTCATTTATATCAACCTCACGCCGCTGCTGTACCCAGCTATCTACACACTCCGTAACCGGGACATGCAGGGCGCCCTCCAGAGGGTGGTCAGCCAGAGGGTGCCAGGGATGGCCCACCAAGCTGACCTCACCTAACCCAGGGTGCCAGGTGGTGTCCAGCAAGAAATTTCCTCCACTGGTGGACATCTCACCACTCCAGAGTACAAACCTGCTGGACGTGAACCTGAGTGTGACTCCTGCCTACCTCTGCCTCTGCAGACATTGTGAGCTTTGACCTGTTGTACTGGGGGCTGTAAGCACCCCCAGTCTCCATTCACCAGATGCCAGAAGCATCTCCTACCCCTCACCCCAGATCCTCAAAAAATGTCGCTGGATGCTAACTACCAAAGGTCCCTGCGGGCCAAAATCACCCCTGGTTGACAACTGCTGTTCTACACTCTAGCCACACAGTATCTTTTGACTGAGTCCTGATGTACAAGAAGCTTACAGAAGCATGCTTTGCTTATTTTTGGTGGCACTAACATTTGAACTCAGGGCCTTGTGTTTGCCTAGCAAGTGCTCTACCACTTGAACTACATCCCCAACCCTTTTTTGCTTTAGGTAGTTTTCCAGTAGTGTCAGTTTTATGTCTGGGCCGGCCTGGACCTCCTTCCTACTATTTATGCTTCTCATGTAGCTGGGATGACAGGCAGGTACCACCACACCCAGCTAATGGTTGAGATGGGGAGGTGTGGCTAACTTCCTACCCAGCGGGCCTTGAACCGTGATCCTCCCAACCTCCACCTCACACGTAGCTGGGACTACAGACGTGAACCCCATGCCCAACCTTACAGAAGCATTCTTTATACTAGATGAAACTGAAAACAAATGTCCATGAATGTAGTCTAGATATTAACAAGCTGTGTTCTCTTCACACAATGGAACGCAATACAGCAATGAAAAAGAATGAACTACTGCTACTGGCAGAAAACAAAATGATGAAGTCCAAAAAAACAAGACACAGAGTACAGACCACAGGTGTCCAACCAAAGGGCAAAGACTGGTGACTGATGTCCTAACAGTGGTTAGCTGGGTTAATAGCTTGGGTTGCTAGGGCATGGGAGAGACGCCCTAGAAGTGTGTATCTTGGTTTGGGTGGTAATTATAGGGGTCCGTACAGGTGCAAAACTTAATCAAGATGTACCCTGAAGAAATGTGCACCTTGCAGAGTGGAAAACAACGTACAGCTGATTCCAACTACTTACGATGCACAGCGAGCCTTCGCACACTCACACCTCTGCTCCCGCTGCCTTCTGGCCTGGCATCTTCTGTATCCTCCTGTGCAAACCCCTGTGTGATTCCAGCACCAGCTCAAATACTCCTCTCTGTGACTCCTTCCCCTTCTTCCTCTGTCATAACTACTGTCATCTAAAATTAATTTTAGCATCTGCCTCGGTTCCTGCCCCCACCCACAATTAGATTATAAGCATTGTGAGGCCAGACTTTCAGAACCTGTTGTGTCAAGGTCTATGGATTTGTTGGGAGGGGAGAGGGGCGTTGCTGTTTTGTTTTGTTTTGTTTTGTTTTTTTTAGGCAGGATCTCACCATATAGCCCAAACTGGACTTGAACTTGCCATTCTCTCACCTTTGCCTCCCAAGTGCTGGGATGTACCACCATGCCTGGAAGTTCCTACTATTTGATAGAAGAATAAACCATAGAAAAGCTCCAAGTTGTTCTGAGGTCTCACCTCTTGGGCCAGGGACACAGCTCTTCAGTCCTGCCAAGGGCAAGAACCCTTCCCTGGAGTCTTTTTCTCTAAGTGTATCAGAGCTGAAGTGAGGACCCAGGGTGGCAGTTCTTGGACACGGCTTATCAAAAATAACAGGTTTGGAGCTGAGCACCAGTGCTCACACCTGTAATCCTAGCTACTCAGGAGGCAGAGATCAGGAGGATCATGGTTCAAAGCCAGCCAGGGCAAATAGTTCATGAGACCCTATCTCAAAAAAGCCCATCACAAAAAAAAAAGAGCTGGTGGAGTGGAGTGGCTCAAGGTGTAGGCCCTGAGTTCAAGCCCCAGTACCACAAAAAAGAAAAAAGTAGGGTTGGTGGAATGACTGAAGGTGTAGGCCCTGAGTTCAAGTGTGTATCTATGAGGGCTGATGTGAAAAATCTAGAAGGAATTGCATCTGAGCAGGCGAAAGGGAGGAGTATGATGGCAGACCAAGATGGCAGACCAAGAATGGAGCTACCCACCTACCTGAAGTCTAGGGAGGGAAGGGTCTCTTTCCATCCCATTTCCAATCTTGCTTCTGCTTCACAAAACCCTGAACCACCTAGAAATCCTACCCACAGTCCACCAGAGCCTCCCAGCCTCCTCCCCAAAGTTCACAGGCATGAGAAAAATGATCTCCCGAGAGACAGATTCAGGACAGCTATTGTTTTAAGACATTTTCAGAGCACTTGCCTAGCAAGATGGAGGCTCTGGGTTTAATCCCAGTACTTAAAAAAAAAAGTGTGATTCACAGATAAATGTGCTTTGGAGTTTTAGCTAAATCCCATACTCTAAATTCTGAGGAACTGCCACAAACACCCTGACAAAGTCCTACCTGTAGGAGAGGGACACAGTTTAAGGACAGGTTTTTGTTCCCTGCAAGCCCAGAGCAGGCAGCTCCAAAAGGACTTTATCAAAAAGCCCAGAGGGAGTCTGTGAGGAAGGACAACTGTCAGATCCAGGCAAGGCATGAGTTCCACTGTGGAAACAGCCAGGCTTGCCTGCCATAGATCACTAGAGGGGAGCAGAGGCTGCCCTTTTTTTTTTTTTTTTTTTTTTTTTGGTAGTTCTAGGGACAGAACCCAGAGCCTTGTTCACAGAAGGCAAGTGCTCTACCACAGAGCTACAGCTCCAGCCCTTGTTTTTTGAGATAGGGTCTCACTATGTAGCACAGACTGACTTGAAACTCTCCATCTTCCTGCCTCCACCTGAGTGCTGGGATTAAAGGCATGTGCTACCACACCTTGCTACAAGAGAGCTCTTGTGTGAGTTCCTCCACACATGAACACAGAAACAGGAGGAGATTTGGAGCTGAAGAACTAAAAGCCAGAGGCCAGCTAAGGCCTCCCATGGCAGCCAGGTGAGTGGGACCGTGGCAGGAAGGAGAGACCTGCACACTCAGCACTACTGAAATGGGCATACAAGAGTTTCCTGGGACCAGGTATGATGGTGCATGCTTGTAATCCCATATATCTGTGAGACTGAGAGAGGAGAATCAGGAGTTCAAGGCCAGCCTGGGCTAATCAAGACCCTATGTCAAAAAAAAAAATGGAAGAGAAGGAACGGAGGGAGGGAGGACAGAAAGGAAGGGAAGAGGAGGAGAGGGGAGGGGAAGGAAAGAGGAGGAGAGGGGAGGGGAAGGAAAGAGGAAAAGAAGGGGAGGAAAGGGGAGAGGGGAGGAATGAAAGAAAGGGGAAAGCCCCAGTAGCTGGAGACACTGCGTCCATGCTGTCTGTATGCATTAACTGCAGCATGCTTAATGGGTCTTTTAAAAATTTATAAAGAAAAATCCTTTAAAAAATTCTAAAGAAAACATTAACAGTGGTTATCTTTGTACAGCAAGGTTTTCTCCCTTAATGCAAAAGCATTTTCTAATTTTTCAAGAAAAAACTATGTGCTCATTGTCTTGTTTTGTTTTTATTTTGCTCATTGTTTAATATTTAAATAGTTCATAAAACATACAAACATCATCTTACTGGGTTTTTTCCACACGCAGAGGTCAAAGCTGTTCCCTGGAGAAAAGGAGTCTATGAGGAGAGCCCTCCCCGGGTCCCCTGGGATCTGAAAGGGCAGAAGAGGGGGATTTTTACCGATGAAAGGGGAACAGTGGAAGTGCCCTGCCTGGCACAGGAGCCCTGGCCTCTAGAGAGCCGGGCACTCAATAGCTCCACACTCATTTCCTCTAGTCTTCAACGTGAGAAGGAAAAACAAAATGCTCTCAGGTTAAGAAGCAACCTGTATGCCATGACCACAGTATAAGGGCGTTACAATGGAGGCGACAGTGGCATGGACAGGGCTTACTACGCAGGCAGGAGGGGATAAACGGAGCTCTGGAATTTAGAGATGGCACAGCTGGGGTCTTCCTCCGAGTGGCAGAAAGGTCCCTCACTCTGAGCCCATTCTCTCTCCTCTCCCAGCAAACCATCCACTTCACTGAATGCTCAATGATGCTTTGATGTGATGGTGTCACCCCTGCTCTATCACAGCAAGACTGTTTTAGTCCCCCACACTCTGGTAGGTGCCACCCTCCACTCTGACCCTCCCAGTGCCACCCTAAGCTACATAAAGAAGCCTCACTTTTGAAAATATTCCTGCTCCCAGGTCATCTTTTTTTTTTTTTTTTCTTTCTTTTTTTTTTTTTTTTTCTAGCAGTACTGGGGTTTGAACTCAGGGCCTCCCCTTGCTAGGCAGGTGCTCTACCACTTGAACCATACCACAGCCCTTTTTGCTTTCCTGTTATTTCCCTAGACTGGGTCCCTTTGTCTGAGCTACCCTCAGACCACGATCTTTCTGCTTCCGATTAGCTGGGATTATAGGTGTGTACCAGCACACTTGGCCCAGTCCCCTTCTTTATAAGAATTATTTCATTCCTGGGATGTCTGAGCTATGAGGACCTGAGTGAATCCACTTGGTTGCAATAGCTCTGAACTTGGCCAAGCACTTACCTTTGGTCAGAGTCTCGGCTTCAGCCTCTAAGACCTTCTAGGGTAGAAGCAAGCTGATGAGGCAAGAAGGATGGAGCCACCTCAATTACAAAGTCAGATCCCAAACCTCAGCCAAGACATGAGGAAACCCTAAAAATAAAATGACAGTGAGGCCTATTTGAAAACGTTAGCAAGGCAGAATCCAGGTAAGTTGGAAACCAACTAATAGCTGAAAGGGAAGTCAGAGACATGACACACAGACTGTGTCCATGACACACAGACATGGACACATGGTCCATGCTTCGTTTCTAGCTTTGAAAACGGAGCAGCCATGTGAGAAGCAAAACATGGTCCTAAGGAGCCACCTGTCAGTTCCCGCTGACAGCCAGCAAGGAATCAGGACCTCAGTCCTCAAACCCAGATCTGCCAAACACCTGAACGCACAGGAGGCAAATTGTTC